CACGCGTGAGGAGAATCATCATAGACAGCGCCATCAAAGAACATAGGTGCTTCAGTGATGTGAAACCAAGTCAGTTCACATTAATAAAGCCTCATAATGGAAAAAAATGGAGAGGGGAGAGGACATAGAGCTATCACACCACAAACGTCTGAGATGCCAACACCTCCAACAATCAGTCACAAAATCTGGATAGACTGACAGCAAGAACGCCGCTAACAATGGTCAGCCGCCACATTACTGTCTCCAGGTATTCTGAGCCTTGAGTTTGATAATTGGCTTGTGCACAACGTCACTCGTAATGTTAGCGATCTAATTAGACTCCTCGAAGGAAAGGCAATGGGTTGGTTGATTATGTTAATTAAATCGCGGTTAGGTCACATCGGATAACATGCCAGTTGCCATACTTGACTCATCCTAGCTTGGCGTGGCCGACAATTCGCCACCTTATGACACGGGTTTAGGTGATCGCCGTGGATTCAGCACAGAAGCGCTGTATATGTATAGCAGGGCTTTGCCGTTAAATATGCATTCTGCTAAGACTGATCCTTTGGTTATCAGCTGATGCGTGGATTGCTTTTATTGTTTAAAGCTTTGGAATTTCTCGGCTCGAGAGTATCGCTTGTACTCCACCAACTGTCTAGCGTTCTGACCAAAGGAGACGCTGCAATGCTCAGTGAAATCGACTTAGCAGACCAATTCGGTTCGCTATCCAAATATGATTGCTTTTTGTACGGGTTAGCTGTCATATAAACCGTGATATCGGTGTTCAGGTTGCACGGTCAGGGGCACAATTCCAGGAATGGGTTTATACCAAGTCTATAGCAGCCTTTCTTCAACTAATCGGGTCGCTGTATACCTGTTAGTTCTAGAACAAGAAATTGGAGTTTTCTGTAGTTTCATGCAATAATTTTGGCTCCAAAAGAGATAAAAAGGCCTTCGGCGATAAGTGACGGGAAAATGACACAATCCAGATCACGAACTGGTTCGATTTTGTTTTGCCGACCCCGACTTCTGATGGTTTAACCGCTTCGTTGTAGATGAAGATAAGATAGGGAGATAAAGCGGATTCTACTGGTGGGAAGATTTCAACAGAAAGTCAAAAATAGATCGAGTGGGTAGAATAAATATTGGTCCTAGCCTCAGCANGCTGTTTCGACTTACGTGTGGATAAGTGTTTACGGCACTGGGAAATAATGTCAATTACAAATCTCCAGAGTTATAATCCACAGAACCAAAATATCAAAATAATGGCTCATTTTGGTGTGTATACCGAGAACTTGACCTCTAATACACGGCTACATTACAATGCACTATCAAGATACATGTCCAAGTAACCCGGATTTAGGAAAACACAATCTTTTTTCTTTGAAGTACACAATCGTGAAGGTCAAATCGATGCATTCGACCTGTGTGAGCGCAAAGTATGGTGAGATCGATGGCAGATGGTTCGAAAATTTCAGTGAGAAAGTTTTAAAGCTATAATGCCAGAACATTTGACTTGAAAAGAACAAATTCGTAATTATCACCTAATATAAGACTTTCCTTTACGTTCAGGTATCACCGCCCATACGTCAGAAAATTTGCATCATATTAATCCTTACTCCAAAGATGATGAGCAGCATCCTTATCAATATATATAACCATGTAATCTGTCAAATAGTCGTGAGATGGCCTGGTGCAAGGAAATCTACTATCACAGCAACATACTATCCACAGACTTGGAAATTAGCAATGAAATAAACGCGCAAATCGCAAAAGCCAGCTTAGCACTTGGTTACCTTGAGTAACGTGTCTGGAATAATCACTTGCGTACATAACCTATAATCGCACTGTATTGGGTTGTGTTATCAGTGCAACTATACATCCGCAAGATCTGGTTCTTGACCGATTTTACTTGCGCTATCTGTGCAAAACATTTGGGGTCAAATGGAAAGACCGAATTTTGAACACCGAAGTCCAACGAACAGCAAAGGCTGTTTGAGCTGCATGCTCACCACTTTAGGTAATGGGAGGACCTAACACTCGACAGAACCGCATGGAAGAACGGCTATACAAGAAACCTTAAGAAGCTTTGCAACGATATAGAACAAGCAAACCATTTGGAAGGGACTAAATCTCCCTAACGCAGCATCGGTCACTGGAACATTGTCATCCTACACTAGTATATGTAGGTGTAGTGTTGATGGAATACTGTCAGGCTACATAGTACGACCTTAACACCCCCCGTAACACTTCCATAGTGCCACACTGAAGGAAGTGCAATAATGCTCTGACGGATTACACTGGCATCCTCACGATAAACGGGTAACAAGTGGCAGCGCTCATTTTTATACCACCATTTTGTGTCAGGTGATGGCTTATGACGGTAAGTTTACCTTCAAACTTTATTTTATCGGAATTACATTAGTGCCAAGGGCTTGCGCACAGCACCACTATCGGCTGCGCACAAATCGTGTGGTTTCCTACTGTATACATGTGTCCTATTCGGATACCAGTAATTCATAGGTCCTTATCTAAAGCCGCCACCTTATTCAGGTGTTCGGACTGTGGGCCTTATGGTCGGAGTGATCATATTATGAGATAAAGACGTACGGTCCGCTGAGGCGGAGGTATGAGCACAGCGAGGTAGATTCTCTTCTTTATTATGGAAGCGGATGTATTGCCTTCTCTATAGGAAACGGTTAGAGGATATCGGCCCAAAAACCGCACGACTGATTGCTCAAATGTTGACTGTGACAGCTGGCCTATTAACCAAAAAGATCGAAATTCTTCTAGCAACCAAGAGCTCGGTGCGCCTCAGAACTCATGTTATGCGCAGCAGCATAAAGAGCGATGCATCTCTGCTAGGCTAGCGTCCACCGCTTGGATCACTAGCTTCCAGATCCTGTTAAGAAAATCCTACCACTGACCGTACTGCTCGTCAGATCATGGACTATATGTGGATTACCTTCCACCAAGAACCCGTCTACAAAATCCTGTCTTGAAAGAACGCTCTATTGATAAAATCCCTGAAAACTCTTCGACAGCCCATTACCGGTTTCGCGCTTATTGGGACTCATCAGGTAGGTCCAGTCCCCGGGTTTCCATTAACCTTATGTTCTAGCTGAAACAGCTTTACGTAATCAATGAAATAAACATATTCGTAAATTATGTTAATATTTCTAGGTCCGGGTGCAAAAGTCATCAGATGCTCCCACTCAAAAGCAAAAAGCACAAAATAAGAGCTTACTCCTAGATATAGGGGAAGCTGAACTAGTGCTTTTGAGCTTATACTCGGCAGCTGTTCGGTGGAATATGCGCAAGACTTCGCCAACCTAAGTCCCATCAAACATGGGGGTGTAAATGGAAAACGACTGGGTAGTCATTTTTACGACGTTTACACGCATGCTGCCTGTCCAAACGAAGGATTACATATGTGGGAAAGAATACTAATTTCCATCCGAAAACATCATAGTCCGCATCGAGTGAATATTCAACAGAGTGAAGACCAAGAAAATAGTATCTCAACTGATAATGATTCACAACAGCAACAGAGGACTGTGCCCGTGTAATTTACAGATGGACCTTCGTAGTCAATGCATACACTGTCTTTAGTAACTACTAAAGCAATCCAGCCTTTCCTGATTGTCCTCATTCTCAAGACGGTATTCTTTGTTCGCTTCCTTCGATTAACTATCACTGTCACTTTTCGTTCCAGTATGAGTTGGTGCCGCCTGATACGCTTTCAGCATCTAGATTGCAATTCCACTTTCCTGTCATACGCGTAGAAGACAATATATCTACATTTGTGTGCCACCCGACAGTATTCCAAGACCGGAGAATCATCATCCCTGCTTTTAGTGATCAACTAATCCTGCACTTTTAGTGACCTTACGGAGCAAACGTGGGTGGATTTCTGCGGATATCATTATATGAAACATGATCTGATTTTCCGCATTGGTTTGCATTCTCAGACAACGTGAACCATATAAGTGTCAGTTTTTCGAACCCGCCAATGGTCAAAACCTCCAGTGATCCGAATCGCCCAGCTCCATCGTCAGTCGATAGTAATGTGCAAGTCATCTCATTAGAACACATCAAGCTATGGTGAGCTGCAGAAAGCAATCTTCAGTCATAATGTGGGCATTTCCGTATTGCCTAAGCGTTACCACTGGGAAATTGTTAAACACTGAACGGGAGTTGGGAATAGCGTTCGACTTGTTGGCGAGAGATTGTTCTAGAACAGCATCAAAAGTTCCGGTTACTGCTGTCTTCACCTGACGTAGTGCAAGCCTTTTAGCGACAGTCAGGTTAATGTGCACGCACAACTCAATGACTACTGCAGCAAATACACAAAGTACTTCACTTGTGTCACCGAAATAACTGTCGGTCACAGGTCGATCTAACATACTGATTGCCCTCACCCAAGATTCACTGCCTAGCCATACGTCAGTCTGAGTGTTTGTGCTTATCAGTTGTTCTAATCTGTTCTAATCTTGTTGCGTCCTTTCTATGGGACGAGTCATTTGTGTTGGTTCACCGGATTCATTTGCGACCAGATGCACTTATTTATGGACGATTGACTGAACAATACTACTAAACGGAAAAGTGCACGCGTCAACATACACGACACGAACTGGGATGGTATGTCGAGTTTTCCATATCAGGTCAAAACCGATCTGATACAGTTGTCACCCCTCAATGGGACCATCTGAAGGGACTGGTTAGAATTTATTTCCCCCTGGGGACTGATGGAACGCAAGAAAATGCTTATCTGGGGCGAGATGGTCCAAGTGGTTACAGCGCAAATTTACTGACCGGAAGGTTCATGGATCGAACCCGACCTCTTACTCTCGACTTCCCCTGTCTAGGCCTAGGCAACCTGGCGGTATCCCAGCCCTCGTGCAACCTTCAGATGGCATGGCAGCTAGGCACCAAAAGGATGCTACAGTTGAACGATTTTATTTACCTGGGATGATTTTCCTCACTTCCTTCCATCTGAACAGGAGGCTGTTCACTGTATGGCACCGACTGAACTGCGCATACATGACCGTACTTCTATGCACCCGGTCGCAATTTTTCCTCGCTTCCTAATTCCTATCGTCAGTACTTATCAAGTTATTTATTTTACCTGGCTGATCCCAATCACCCTTCCTTTCCGGTCATAATGCTTCCATGCCACTCAGCAGACCCACCTAGGTAAATCGGAGAAAATCTCGTAAAATGTTTACAAAACTTTGCCGATTAATAACTCATCACGCCTATATTGTTAAGGTGTGAGGAGATCCCGGTAAAACTCAGCCACGAGACCTTTCCTCTCTACTAGGACCCATCGCGTTGGTGTTGAGTGGGTCATTTACGAACAAAATGCCTCGTGTTTGGACTACTTGGTATCTGATAACATGCTTACCATGCACTACTACGTGGTAATTACCAGATAACCTACGCAAATCAATCGGCAGTTAGCTAGGCAATCTAAACATTCAGCAATAATCCGGCTGTTCCGAGATTCAGTGAAAAATTACGACGAAGCCCGCCTTCTGCTCCATGCTTTTCCCCTAAACTTCACGCACTGTCTCTGACCAGTTACACACACGCTTTTTGCCAAAGGCTTTCTCTGGCCTGAAATCTCACACATGTAGGAATAGGGCAAAGCCGCCAATATCGTACTTTCGCTCGTTTTGAGAATACCACTTATGTTAAGGCCGATCTGGCAGTTGCTCACTTAGCACCTTTGTGGTAAATCGCCGCAGTGCAATTTCGACCTAGCTCAATATGTATAATTGCACATGCGATATATTCTGTAATGCTGTAAAAACACTTCCGTCGTGTGGTGCTCACATAGCCCAACGTGCATTGCTGGCTATAATAGGGCTATCACGCCCACACAAAAAGCAGCAAATACACCAGTAGTAAATGCTTGCGGGTAACTAGAAAAATACTCATGCGGTTGTCATCAATAGTTTGTGGTACTGAAGTGACGTGTCAACAACAGAGGAGTTCCCGTGTTACGCTGTGAACTAAAGTAAGCACCACTTTTCACTGCTGTACCGCAGACTTGTTTTTTGAATATTTGTAGCCAATTTCCGATTAGCACTGAGTTGAACCGACCGATTAAACCCAAAAATCCACACAGCTTTTTGACCCTTGTCAAGTGTATCTAGAGACCCAGTAATGTTACGTGCTGCCCCACACTTCTGCACAAAGGACGAATTGACTCAGGAAAAGACACAACACACGCCTGACTTGTACTCCTCATGGGGCTCGTCTCTAGAAAACCCAACGAACTAACACCAAGAAAACCAAAATTGAGGCGGTCCCTTCTGTGAAGGACAGGGCCATTATTTTCTTCGAAGCCCGGTTCGTAATGGAAGCAAAACTGTGCCCTCCATGGTTCGTAAATTCAACAGGAAGTTCCAATGGACTAGTCAACCTCTAAGGAGACCGCAGTTTTTTTACAACCCTCACACTAGCTGAATCCTTCGACCCTTATCCCGGAGGTTTAGGATGAAATTTCACGCGAATCAGAAACTCTTGAATTTCATTTTACCTAGGTAGAACTCCTAAACTAACGAAGAATAAAGCGAACGTCAAGCGAAGATCATGTTCCCTCCGAGTCGCTGCTCAGTTGAGAAGACGGTCGTTGTGCTCGGATTCAGAAATCGAGGGTGACTCTCGCACTTGTCATAAACAAACGGAGCTGATATAACATAAAGGTGAAACTGTTTTAATGTGGATAAGTAAATTTTATCTTCTTTTGTCATGCCATTTGCAGACTACCTTGACTATTCAACTTGACGTAGTGCTTCACTGGGATTATAGCCACGTTCGGAGTGATTGAGGGATACGCCTCCAATGAAAGTTTGACGGCCCTTTGACACCCAGAGTACTTGTTGTTTAGGCATATACGGTCCCCACCAACTTCCCCCTGGCACGACCGTATCGAATTCGTGGTGAAGCCCCTCAGGTTATTCTGGAGTCCTAGTCGGAGGAGTTGGTTAAGATACCTTCCACCTGAATTTCCGCTTAAGCATTTCAACCGAAGATCCGGTCATTGCTATTTTTGCAGTGGTAGATCGAATCTTCCTCAGCATGCAACATGGTCTACCAGTTCAGTGTACTAGCTGTAAACGGTTATAAACTCAATCAGATGACTGTCTTGAGTGCTGAACCTACGAATACCCAAACTGAATGGAGAAAAGAACCGGATGATCTTAAAAATGTTTTGCCGTTCTACGCTGAAAAGGCGATGAGAACAGTGCTTCTCGGCTTTTCACCTACAGGATGAAATCTCCACAAAAATTTCCAAATCTCACACTCCAACAATGTCTTGCCCACCAAACCATGATCAAAGGATGAACAATGTTCCCCTGATCAGTAAAAGTGGTGCCATTGAGAGACGACCATACATTCCAGGAACGTTAAGGCGGACTGTGCTGTTGCAGACATTAAGTACAATTCTATTTCATCAGACAGTCATGTAGAATTGATCTGTGGCTGACTTAGCCCATCCACTGATGGCTACAGAGACTAACCCAAACCCCTCGCAGATAGTGTCACCTCGATTGGTGACCAGACGTTCACACTCCAACTACCTAGCTCGGCGAACGGACCAAAAATTAGATAGATGGCGTCCACCCAGTGCGCATCGGTCACTCTCTTAAAGGCGAACGATATGACTACTTCAACAGAAAACCAAGTCACTCCCGGGTCGTTACAGATAATGGAGTGCATGTTCGACCGCACTTCTATACCAGCAAGGTTGCGAAAAAGATATCCGTTTATTTTCGTAGCATTCGTCAACAATCGTACCGTTTGTACTACTGACACATTATTCATGGTGTTTACAAGACTTCATCTACTGGTTCCATGCTTTTGACACTTACCGCTGCCTTCCTACAAACTTGAGGACATAATCCTCCAAATTTAGTGGATGCCCAATATCTGTTGTGGTTCCTTTAAAGAAGACAGAAAACTGATGGGACTTTATCACGACCAATTTATTTTGATGTCAAGCGCCTAAAACAATGTATGTCTTTTGATTTTCTCCACCAGACAACGAATTGAATGTTTCACCGCAGTTGAGGCAAACAGTTGACTATGCTGCGAGTGGACTGTTTATCTTTTGTTGGGCGGATCGTCTGATCAAGCAATTCGTCGATATTTGATGACCAACAGAGCCACCGAAAGATCGCACTGTGAGTAGTCATATACAGCCTTGGTGTCGGAAAGCAAACCCAAAAGGTGGAATAGGCGTCCCGTTTTTTTGTCGGAGAGAAATAGTGTTCCTAAGGGCTAACTGGAGAAATCGCTTCTCAGTGATCACCCACAATATGACATTTTCAATGGAGATTTCACGGGGCCAGTTTGTGGTATTCAATCGAAAGGCCCTATCGAAAAGATCAGTAAACTGTGAAGCGTACAAACACATTGTGGAGTTCATAATTAATTAGGCTATTCGATGCCACGAAACCAGCAACTCGGTCCACCTCCAAACACAGACCTCTAGCTCTCAGTAGACACTTACGTGGGTCAGTTGACGAACAATGATAGTGTGCAACGGGTTTAGTCGAATTACGATCACCTCACGAGGCAACTCAGCGCAGTTTATTCAGTGCATACAGTAGTGGTTCAACACACCCTAAGGATTATTAATTCTGTATGCACTCCAGTATGCTATACACCGCGGATGCATATTGTGCGCTTGAGATGCCGAAATACCATATTAGGGGGGTCATTTGCAGGCCTGGATAGGAAGAACTGAGTAACCTCCGCTTCGGGTACCTGGTGGTTCCCAATGTGGTAATCCGAACCCACATCACACCTGCATGGCGACCTGTAGTTAGCCAGGTTTTGATCCGTTTCCACCAGTAGCACCAGAGAGGAAAGTCGCCTTTAGCACCACCAGAGGCTAGCCAAACTGAAATGTGGTGGTCCCCACAACTACACGGGAAGTACAGTTCCACAAAGCAACTTATTGGAGCCTATTTCAAATAGACCGGCTACTTGCATGTCGAAAGCCGTGTGGAGTGTTATGGTCAGATATTTTGGCGATGCCCATAAAACACAGTATTTCTTTATAAGAAACTTCTACTTGAAAACAATTCCGACGGTTGAAAATTTCCTATTTCGCGAATGCATTACACCCTCACTACAAGAGATTCCCATATAAAATAAACTCCAAGGAAACAACTCTTTCGCCACGTGAATCCTTGTAATCCAGTAAGAAACAGCTTATTTCTGATACAAACAAATATGGGTTACCTCATCACGGATTTTTCCATTCAACTGAACTAATATATGAGTGGTCTTCAGTATGTGGTCGAAAACAGTTCATATTACCCACTTGACTCGTGTTACGACACCATGGTGACTCTACAAATGGCGTCTCTGCGGAACATTCTTTCCCTATTCGAAGGGAAGCGAGAGGGCACAGTGGTTAGATCGAAAATTTACTGACCGGAAGGTCCGTGGCTCGAACCCGGCATGCGCCTCTCGACTTCCCATGTCTAGGCGTGGGCAACCTGGCAGTATCCCAGTGCTCCGCATCCGAAACATATGAAGTGTCCCAAGTTGCCATGCCAGTAAAGGAAAAGTGAACGTCAGAACGAAAATATTGGATATACATTCTACAAGTATAATACAAGACAAAAATACGCATTGGGGTATCATTTAAAGAATTCAATGGAGTTGTGCAAGGCAATTTACTGGAAAAGTAGAGACTAGTTAGTAGTCACCTTGATGCACGACGTTGCTGCGTCGATCACGATGAGAACCACGTTTCTGCGTTCGCAGTTTGCAGGCAAAAAGATTAGCTAGCCGTCGTTGATCCCTCAATGCGCGTCGATCAAGCGGACTGTGTGAGACAACGACCGGCAAGCCGAGATCGAATAAATCCCGCACTTGGAAGTTCTCCTGAAGATGCCGAGTCATTCCGCCCTTCAGTAAGCAACACAACAAATCGTAGTAAAAGTGTTCGGTACAGGAAGTCAAAACCAACACTTCGGAGCCGAAATTTACGGTTGTTTCGGCTGTACCTAGATGAGTGACCGTATCCACCAGTTCACGAAATGACTGCCTCTGTCGTTTGCGGTCTACTTTTGAGCGCGATTTCGTACCGTCTGTCGCGAGTTCATTAAGTAGCCTTACTAGGTCTGTGTAATAGGGGCCTTTGAACCGTTCGTCAACTTCGGCGCGTATTCGTTCATAGATGAGGGCAGCTATTTCACCAGCCATTATTCGCATGTCAACATTCGCGCACTGAAGGAGGCTTATAACAACAGGAAGTAGAGCGGTTCCCACCGGACCAGCATCATAGGATGTGAGTAAAGTGTACAATAAGCCCCAAGATCGAAGTGCTGATACATGAAAAGCGCTTACTGTTGGGTCCAGAACCGGCGCTTTCCCGTCTCCCTTCAAACAAGAACCTCTGAAGACTGATTCCAATGATTTCATCAAGTCTTTGGGGGCAACAAACTCACAATGACCGGTTAGAAAATGAAACACAGCTAACGCGACTGAACATGCTGCACGAAATGCGCAAGGAGCAGTGACGTCTCTAAGAGCAGTATCCAAAACGGGCAAGAACCTGGCGTAGCATTCAACAATATTCTGTGAATCAAACTGAAAGGCGAATACAGCCAAGCATTCCGCAGCTAAAGTTTGATCTTGTGCCTTCCCCTTCTTCAACACGTTTTCGATTCCACTGAAAAATGTGTCCGAATAGTTCCACGACTCATCCAGACATAAGTAGTGCATACGAAAGGCATCCAGTAGATAGGTCAGTCCCTTAATGCGCACCTCTGGACGCTTCTCGATTAGGGATTCGCTGGCGACATTAACACGCTCAATGACAGACTGTATTGCGGCGATATCCTCAACCTGGGTAGAGAGGGCGAACGCATAGCAGAGTAAGGTGATGAAAAGATATGTATATCAATGCATTGCAAGTGAATATGAGGTTAGGCACATTTGGTGCCTGGTTAAATCGTGATACGCCGAAGGGGTGAGAAAATTACGATGTATCTCGAGCTTAAGATCACGGAAGTCAGGAAACATCAAGTCCAACGCATCACAATTTTGCAGTGACACCATGGTGCGCCACTAACAGCGTAGTCATGCTCTAAAAGATGTCTGCTCTCTGAAAGTGAGTACCCTAAATTTCAGATACCTGAGAGGCACCACAACTTTCACTGCCCTGAAAAGGTTAAAAAACTGTAGACCTCAAAGCAAAATGTTGCACTCAAGTGCGCAATTCTGACAAACTTTATGAATTCTGTTGCCCAAACTAATCTAAACCTATCCAACCTACCGTCGAAAAACGAACTCTATGAGCACCGTGTGACTCTAAACGTATCTACTGCGCTTGGCAGCACTAGGAGTAAGGCATTGATGTTTTACTCCCTACACTCTTGGGATATGATTATGGTGGTCATTTGGGGAAAACGCCTTACCGAGCGAAAGCTTCTCAAGTGGATATGCGTTGATAGTCACTTCTGTGGGTTCCATTTGCCAAAACCTGTAAAATAACCTCGAGAAAGTGAGGTTCACCGCTACCTGTCCATTGCGTTTACTTACGTACCGAAGGGCTGTATCTCTGAATCTACCAGAGTTTCTATGACGCCCTAGGTGCTCTTTCACAACGAACAAAGGGCTCTGTTATCATTGCGGTTGATGGTGACATGAGCGCTCAAGTAGGTAGGCCAAGCGCTGCCGAGGCCCAAATGTGTGATCTACTTGGGTGCCCATTACAATTAGCTTGCAATTTCCGGAACAGCGGAAATCGCTTGCCCACCAAAGAACCACTCCCCATTCCTAAGAGACCACGTCGCTGTCAGATGCCGGTGATAATGCCCTATCACTCCTACCATGAACTTACACGTTGCTGCTTTTCATGCCTACGCAAAACGTGTACATCTCAAATGGCCACTGAGAAGCTAATGGACCTAGAAATCAAAGACCTATCAGAACCAACCTCCCACCCCCGAATGCCTGCCTGATGGTCCGATGTCGGATAGTACGGGACACTGGGAACAGATATCAAAGTGCTACTCAGAGCCGGAACTCCCGTTTGCGGCACATCCCAGCCAAACTTATCCAAACAACGGACCTCTGGTAGGGCCGTGGCTTTACTGAAAGCCGGTGACAGATTACTCTGGATTGCAAGCACAACCCGATGCTGGTTGGAACTGAGTGTCCGCGCATATCGCGAACCTTGATGGACCCGAAAGTCCGACGAAATAGAGGGTGCGAAAAATGCTGCAAAAACCCGCAGTTTGTTGCAGCTGACTTGTTCAACTGTTTTATGGAATTCCCTTGTCAGAAAAATTATCAGGACCAAAAATGGATGCCTTACATGTCCAGCAAAGGGAGCATTTGGACCACTGGACACAAAAATTAGAACAATTCCGTTGGTCAGCAGCTACATCCAATCCGTACACCCGGTCTTCATTAGAAAGGAAGACTGGAAATATGGAGCCCCCCTTCAGTTTCCCAGTGTAAAGCTGTAGTCAAGCGTCGTCGTGCTTCTAATACTCACGACTTTCATTCGCTATGTTCAAGGACAGCGAGGGAGGGTGTCCCTCCTAAACCTCTCTCTTACAAAGGTCTTATGTCTTCTCCTGTGTGCGTGTCTATGGTGGATTCTCTCCGGAGTTAACCACATTCAATGGTGTCAGGTAGGGATGCGACACCTCGCAAATCGAAATACACCGGAGCATTCGCTCAGACATTAAGTGCGCCGACAAGGATTTTCTTGGATCGGATCCTTTAAAAATGCAAGCTATTTCAGACAACCTAAGCAATTACAGTGCACAGCTGGGTATGCAGTTTGCACCCGCAGTATTGCTGCAAAATCCAAACCTCATACTCGCAGTTGAACCAGTCGGTGGAGTATAAAAGCTTGGTCACCTGGATAACCGCATAAGTTCCGGTGGTCTGACGAAAGACAAAATCACTTCCTCAAATTCGGAAGCCTTGCCAACCTCTGACATTCGTAGTACCTATGTGATATCAGTTTGACTGTCAAAGAGAGAATTTGCAGTGCGACCGTCCGATCAGTCCTAGTTTATAGATCAGGGATGTGGCTGCTGCGTGTGAAGACCTTCGAAGGCTCGGTGTCTGACCACAGTTACCTCCGAAGCATTGCGCGAGTCTAGTGGAAACACCAGATCAGTAATACTTAGGCTAGATGGCTTTCGGTGAATTTCGTTCTCCCACATTAGCTTAGTTGGTCATATTTCGTATGCCAGAGGACCGCTTGCTTGCCTCATCACTGTTCGTCCAGCCTTATGTCAAGAAGAAACGACCCGGGCGTGGTAGGTCTATGTCCTGACAACGAAGCCCTTCCAATCAGACGACTCACGTTCGTAAAAGCCGGATCGGCGACGACGGAAGAGACAAACTAGTGTTCAATGACCCTGATAGATAATGCTGTATCATGAAGCCAACAGCGACCCTGTAACAAAATTAATGCCTTCGCTGCGTAATTCTCAACCTCTGGCACACCAGGAAACACCAGATCAGTAATACTTAGGCTAGATGGCTTTCGGTGAATTTCGTTCTCCCACATTAGCTTAGTTGGTCATATTTCGTATGCCAGAGGACCGCTTGCCTCGTACATCACTGTTCGTCCAGCCTTATGTCAAGAAGAAACGACCCGGGCGTGGTAGGTCTATGTCCTGACAACGAAGCCCTTCCAATCAGACGACTCACGTTCGTAAAAGCCGGATCGGCGACGACGGAAGAGACAAACTAGTGTTCAATGACCCTGATAGATAATGCTGTATCATGAAGCCAACAGCGACCCTGTAACAAAATTAATGCCTTCGCTGCGTAATTCTCAACCTCTGGCACACCAAACATAAACACCCGAAATACATGAGCTGATTGGGTCATCGCCTTTAAAAGCATGGCTATAGTTTTCTTCTTCTCCTCATCCTCGGTGAGCGAAGTTGTAGCAGCTGGGACCACTGCATCTCGATACACAACCTGTAAGCTGAAAAACTGAACTGAACCAGTGTGTGCTCGGGCATGCCGTTATCGATCTGCCTGAGTCTGTACAGTGGTAATATGAACAAGGTTGAGGCCTGAGGTTCGGACGCGAACATTATTAGAAACTTCTCCGGATGCGAAGCTGGCGCGACGATGACTGAGAACCATAAAAGTAATCGTCACGGGACTGGGAGTCAAAAGTAATGCTGAGGTATCGGCAACTGCAGGCCGCAAGGCTATCCGGCTGATGGCGCGAAGCGATAGCCGTCGTGACGTGAATTTACGGGTACCCGTAGGTGACAGCTGTCTGTGGCTGGGGTACCATCAGAGTAACCAAACCTTGAAAAGGTAACTATTACGGTAACCAACAGAAGCCCTTGTCTCAAAAGCCAAAATACAAGGCAGCGACGGTTGGTATGACTACTATAGTGGTGTGGGACATGCCAAACTCGCTAGCTGCTAAACAAGCTCTTAAGTTCACTTTTTCGGCGTTCAAGCCATGCAAACGATATAGGGTAAATACCAGCCCCCCATTAACCCCAAGAGAACACTGACTTTATTTCTTCGAAGCCCAAAACCTAATCCGGATGGACGAGCATCCCAGAGGGTGTATACCGCCCTAACCGATGCTGGAGTTACCTTAGTATATCACCCTGAGGTCACCGAGAAGTTCCCGACCACCCCGCTCCCGCCGGGTGCAATAGTTCAAGAACACTTACATCTTCCATGCGACGTTGCACAAAGCTCTGCCCAGATGTCTTCGCTGTTATGTGTTTACCAGCCGACCCCAAGGCAGTTTGCAAATGGCTCGCGTTCCGCTAGCCTCCACGCAACAGAAGTTCAGGATGCTCGATCTCCGCAGTTCTCACTTCTGCACAATACTAGTCATGGTGACCTCAATCCTCATCCAGCAGCGCCTTGAGGACACGGCTCATCGTAATTCCTGCTGCCAACGCTAACACCTCGGCGTTCTGTGCCACACCATTACATTGGTAAAAGGAGCGATCCCTAACAAGCTAGTGTTTACCTGTATAGGACCATATGTTAAATATGTTGTCAACGCTGCAGGTTCGAGATAACTCGGTAGATAAGGTACCATTACCAGTCTCCGTACCTCGAATGCTTCTGTTTAGGCTTCGGCAGCGTCAGTATCTCAGAACTGGTGGTTGCTTAGGGTGGCATAGCAGCTAACCAGCAGACGGGTGTTACAGCTGAACGATTTGATTTTGAGTGCAGTCGAGGGACCCCTGGTAGAGGAGGGGCTGCATGCCAACTGGCCATAAAAGTTGGAATAGAGCTAATTACCACAGTCAACCTCTACTGAGCCGCACGCCGGAGGGTGCGCGCTGACCGTACTACTGAGTGGGAAAGCCCCAGCAACACTGAAACATCTAAGGCCCCACAACTATTGCGAGCACGAATTCCCTGACCGGAAGGTCCGTGGTTCGAACCCGAACTGTGATTCTCGAATTCCTGTCTAGGCTCGGGCAACCTGGCAGTATCCCAGCCCTCGTGCTTCCTTCTGGTAGCGTAGCAGTTAGGCGCCACCATATCTCACAGTAAACCATGGGGACGCTCTAACATATGGACGTCCATTTGCAGGGTCTTCTCCAGCAAATCGTTCAACCCATGCGTGCAAGCTAAACGGGCTAATAATACATAAGCTTGCTCATGCTTTTTTCTTCATATGACTATCTATATTCAAATGACGCCTCAATTCCTTGCAAATTTGCGATTGCTGACAGCGGACAGGCTAAGGCGAAGTTACCTGCCATTCGGGTCAGGAAAACCGATTGCGACGCATTTTAAGTCCCATCAACAACACATACCCAACCCATCGCTGCACAGCCCTACGCTCTCTAATAACGCAAGGCGATGTCACATTGAATGGTGATGAAACGTTTGCAACCAAAATACGATGTGGTTGGCATTAATTTGAAAGTGTAGTGAACCACTGGCGGAAGAGGAAATCGTGGAAATCAGCCAAGTACTTACATCCGTAGAAGAATGTGTAAACGTTTCGCTGCCATCACTTGCGATGCTAACTATGCTGGCGGTCTCCAACGGATCTACTTCGTCATCCACACGTCTGCCTACAGTGCCCAAGATAGAAAAACGTCAAGCCATACCTTTTGTGGACTTCACCTTCTTTTTTGGCATCAAATGTTATATAACAAAACTCCTGGCAGAAAAGATTACTATATACGACGTGAGCAGACGGAATGTTCCAACAGAACGCATCACACGCGAAGAGTCCATTTAGCGTTTGAAACACGTGGCCGTGGTGCAGTAAAACACCACCCGAAACCAGGCTCAAGAAATTCAACAAATTAGTACACTACTAGGGTAGGCCCATGGACTTGTTTTGGCAGATCATCCACTCTGGCTGCGGGTTTAGGCTGCGTGTACGGAAGAGGAGGAGAAAGAAAAGAAACTTCACCACTTATGAAGCTGCGCTTTTACTGTAAGATCGACCAAAAGCCGGGATGAGTTATAAATAACAATGGGCACGGAGGCGCCTGCGCACGGTAAGGGACAAGTGTGAAATGTGAGTGGCTGATAAGACACTCAAACGAAGGCCAGCGGCTAGACGCACAATGTATTACGGAGGCGCTGCGCACGGTAAGGGACAAGTGTGAAATGTGAGTGGCTGATAAGACACTCAAACGAAGGCCAGCGGCTAGACGCACAATGGGCAGGCGCCTGCGCACGGTAAGGGACAAGTGTGAAATGTGAGTGGCTGATAAGACACTCAAACGAAGGCCAGCGGCTAGACGCACGCTGTATTTTTCTGCAAAACCCCTGCGGGCGGAATAAAAACGTTAACGTCAAAATGTTGCACTTCTTTGCATATATGCGTAGACTGAAAAACCCCCTCATCTGCCGTCATCCTTTTGCGATTTGTTTCAATCGATGTCATTTGAAAATTATTGGCGCACATTCGACTTTGAACTTCGTTTGCTATGGCTTCGGAAGTGGCTTTCGTTGAGAAATTTGTGGGTGTATCGTTTTCATCCTTCACGGCATTTGAGAAGACCTTAAATGAATACATGAAGGATAACTTTGTGATATTTGTGCGTTCATCCAGTAATCGAAGCACCAACACTATTTTGCGTGGAATCCGAAGAGGCTAGTAAGCCGAGCGTAATTTCTAATAAAAAAGTACGAGAAGCACCAGCTGCCCAGTGCGGTTTTGTCTACGGAGGCAAAGGAACCAACTGGCAGTGGCCTCTTATTTTCTGGAACACAACTACAAACTGTCAAAGTTTTTTTACGATCGGCTTCCAGTCAATCGACGCGTCCCTGTGTGTCAGGGAGAGGAAGGTCACCATAGCCACATATGTTTCTCCCGATGGCAGCAGATAGCGTTATTCCGACGCTTTCCCGACGTAGTGAATGTGGACGGGACACATGCAACAAACCGCCTTGGGTAAGTTTTTTTAAAGCATCTAATATTCGGTATTTAGATATAAACTATACACATTCTTGATAACGGACGGCATGGGAACCGGGCGTCCGGTTATGTATGCGTTCGTAGAGAGCGAGCAGTTTGCTCCCATGCGTAAACTGTTCGGCTTGTTCAAAGAAATGATGGGCGAAGCGTATCCGGTCAGGACCTTCGTAATGGACAAGTTGGCGGCGCAAATGCGTGCGGCAAGAGTAGTGTTCGGCTGTGACATTATGCTTTGCTACTTTCACGTCCGCAAAGCCATCAGGAAGCACGTATGTATCATTTAATATCCATGTATTTATGGTCACAGACACATTCTGCGAACAGCCGGCACATATTTCACCGCATGGCTCGCCTGGACAATGCTGTACAGTAGGTTTTATGTTCATCATATTACAAGCACACAGATTCCGACAAGATCTACAGCTTCTGCGTCGAACCGACCCCCGTTTTCTCTCCTATCTTACGGCTCGCTGGTTGTACATCACCCGAAAATGGGCCATACACGCACAGTCCGGAATGGTTCATTTCGGTAATGTGACCAACAACCGACTGGAGAATGCGAACGGGCGCCTTAAAGATCAGGTGCACCACTCCGACACGTTGGAGCATGCCATTCAAAAGGTGTCCCGGCACGCCGAGTGGCTCATGCGGGAGTTTGAGATGCATACGTCGTACCACTGCGACAGGCGGCAAATCCTGGAGGGTGACGCCTACGTTCTAAACGTAGTCTGTCGAATGACGACATATGCATGCTCTCTCGTTTTGAGACACTTGGGTCCGCGACCGCCGCGGCTGCCGTATGAAAGTGTCGAAACAAACAAGGTGAGGTCGAGCTCCGTAAACTAACTCATAGTTTGTGGTGCAAACACTTAGATGCTCCCAGACTGTCGACACCTGTGCTGGAGAATGCACGTGCCCTTTCTACCAGGCGATGTGGCTCCCCTGTGTGCACCTGTTCTCTGTATTTCGAGATCAGTCCGTTCCGAGCAGTAAGAACTATTCATCATTGACTTTTTCTTAGCTTGCTTTCCAATCCACCAACGATGGCTGTCAGATTACAACCTACCGGGAAAAGGTGTACCACTTACACTTGTTCCCAAACCACCCCCGACAGCTTTCGACGGTCTTCGTAAGCAACTGAATCGGGTGATGGATAAGCTTCAGAGGCTGGAACCCAGGAGGGCCACCGCCATATTTAAGCGGCTGATTGTTCAGGGCGAAATCCTGCTGCGTCAAGCCTCAAAGTCTGCAACCGACGATCTGCCGTTGGTGGTCGAGGATACTGCGCCTCAACCCAGATGGGGGTCTGGAAACGCTGACTTGGGGTTCTGTGTGCTCTGTGACCGGCCTACTACTACCAGTGACCGCTGGTGTACAACGGATCGCGTGTCATATCACGCCGACTGTTGTGACGGTGAACCCTGCCCACTGTGTGGTGGTGCGCTTCAGGCTTGTCCCATAGGTGAGTCCACATGAAAATAAATCACTTTGGGTTCTTAGCTCCGGGCCCATCCAGAAAACGCAGAGGTGTGCTTGCTATCCGGTCCGCAAAAAGGGCGTCTTATGATGTTGACCTGGACCGAAGCACAGATTCCCAGCACAGTGTGTCCCGTAAGTCCGTGTGCGTCCGTGTTTTCGGGTCCACAGAGGAACTACTCGACGGCCGTGAGTCTGTCTGACAACTACGACTAACTCTGTAGAGCGCCGGCTAGATGAAAGAGATGAAGATGATTTCATGTGATCCATCGGCTCCGGAAAGTTTGTCTGGTAATGAGATCCTATGCATTACATGTAAGTCTCGTATTTCTTGAGAGTTGCAGTAAACAGGCATGCGAAATAACCGCTGAGGATGGCATTATGTGAACAGGCATCTACGACAGCATAGTAAGTATCTCTACCTGTTTGTCGGCCGCACGCCTTATGGTGATATTTCGATAACCTGGATTATATATTCCTCTCATTTCAGGACTTCAACGGCCAAAGGAACACTCCTCACGAAGAAGAAAATTCGCCTCACAGGAGGACATTTGTGAACTTCAAGACGACCAATATATCCCAAAATTTCAAGACGTCTATTTTGAGCCTTTTCTCCGTTACCGATGGATGGATTAGTTGGACATCGTGTACCCCTAGCCGCATGTTAGTGGTGTGCGTCGGTTAAGATCGTTCAGCTGTCTGGTATCATCGACGTAGGCTCTATGTGGCTAGTTAGTTAGGTATCGTGTACCCCTAGCCGCATGTTAGTGGTGTGCGTCGGTTAAGATCGATGAACCCGGAGGACTTTCTAGCATAATTCGGAACCTATAATGAAAAACTCTGTAGTTTGCCAGTCAACGTGCACGATGTTTAGCAAATAATTAGCGTGCACCACTGGCAACAAGGAATCATCGGCCAAAATTTGTTTGCACGAATGCGCCTACGCATAAGTTGCATCTCCAAAGGCCATTTAGGTTCTAGAATGTTGAGGAAACCTGTTCCGGTGGAAAAATACCTGAAAGTTGCGTTCATTGTATGTGAGTCAACCTTTTCCACAATTCGCGATTTTTTTCATCTGTTAAGGTATTCAAAGTCGGCGGTGTTTATTCACCTGGGGGTTTAGTTCACTTAAACAAATCGCCATAGTAAAGGATTTTCAATAATACAGGAGCATATACATTATACATAGACATTCTACACTATGAAGTGGCAAGTCTGAAAATGCCGTAGATTGCGAGAAATCAATCTCATTGTGCGAATAGCCAGCGGCCAAACGAAGCCAGTAAGGGGAAACGAGTTGCCCCGTCTGGGAGAGCATTTCACGGTAGAATAACGATGGAGAAGAGTTTCTCCTCGAACTCCCAGGGTGGCTCGGTACAATTAGTTTTAAACTGCATCCCCCGTGATTCATGAAATCACGGACCTGTACGCAGGATCAATTCTTCTGCCTAAGCTTTATGGGTCATGTCTGTTTTGGCACTCAGCGGCTTCTGCTCACCCGAACTGCACAACCGAGAAAATTCACGGATTCACGGACTGATACACAAGACCGAGGCTTTTTCCCAAGTTTTTCGGGTCGGTTTTGTTCTTGTTGTTCACCTGAAAGCCACAAGTGAGAAAAAGATGTAGCGCCACTCTTTAATTTCTCAACGCAGGGCAGTATGCCTGCCAGTGCGAGGATTCGTATAAATAAGTGTCTAATAGTGCTTTGAACCGAGTCTTAGAAGGGGTGTGGACAACCCTCTGAGGAGAGATATTCCACGCAGCTGCTACTCAAATGAGAAAATATTTTGCCTGAGGAGAGCGTGTTCTCTGAGCGTGTTTGTTAGGTCAAGCCTTGTTCAGACAGGGCCAAAATAAGTATTAGGTCCCATCGGAGGCGACGGTACCCCAGGGGAAAAGATCAATTACCGCGAAACGTGTTTCCTGGTCCACGAATTTGAAACTGGCGAACATTTCCGTTGCATTTCGCTGGACACGCTCAATGCCGGTTACGTCTTTCGTGTGTTCCGAGTAGATAACTTGGTTTGCATATTCAAGGAGCGGTCTGACGTAGGCCGCATAGAGTATTTGAAAGTCCATGCGTGTAATTCGAGTGAAGGTGCGCCGAATCATACAAAAAACGGAACATAACCTTTGGGCCAATTTCTCATGGTGCAGTGA